AGCCGGGGCTCGAACCAGCAACCTTCCGATTACAAGGCGAACTCCCAACTCTTGAGCCACGATCGCCCACAGATTAAGATTACAGTTCAGATTGCATCAGGATCAGATTCTGGATCAGGATCAGGGTTGAATCAGAATCAGATTTGGGATCACAATCCTAAATCAGTGTTATGATGAATTTGGGGATATGGAATAGGATCTAAATCAAGATTGTGATCAGAATACGGATTGGGATCAGTTTCCGAATTTGAATCAGGGCCAGGGTCTCAAATAGATTCAGAATGGGGATCAGGATTAGGATGTACCTGTGGGGACAAAGATGTTGGCAAAGATGATGGCGGCAGAGAAGAAGAGACAAACTGCCTGAGAGACCCGCCTCCCCAGGTAACTGAGTATTCCCAATGCAAACAGTTTGGCGGGAATATCTACAGCTCCAAAGATGATCTGCATCAGGTAAATACTCACCTGCAACAACAAACAACCAACAGGAAGGAAATACAGTAGATCCAACCAATAGGATGGGAGAAGAAGTTTAAACAGGTGTACTGAAACTTCAGCAGGTAAGTAGGAAGACAGGTATCGGGTTGCTCACCCCAAACTTCTGGAGGTCCATCGCCAGGCCATAGTATGCAAAACTAGTAGAGAACCTGCACAGAGGTGAGTACACAGGTGTACAGGTGGATACAGGAGCTTCATTTTATTTAATAAAAAAAACATAAAACAGATAGAAGAAGCAGGTAAACAGAAGAGCAGCTAAATGGGTAAACAGGTAAGCAGGTGAGACAGGTGAGCATATGAGCAGGTGTATGTCTGACCAGACGGCCATCAGACAAATGGAGATGCGTCTCATCCCCGGGGTCCTCAGCAGGTCGAACACCGTGAATGTTGAACGAGCCGACTCAATCTCTTTGTTCATGTGAGAGTGGAGCACCTGCAGTCACATGGTACAGAGCTCAGCATCTGATTGGAGAAATCACACTTTTACACAGGTGGCCAGGTTACCTCAACAGTGATCTTATCGATCATCTCTGATTTCCCGTTGATCCGAGCAACTCGGTGAAGACTCTTCAATGCGTCCTCAGAGCGCTGGTTCAAAACAAGCCATCGAGCTGACTCTGAGTACCACCTGACCAATCAGAGCACAGAGAGAACTACCTGACCAATCGGAGAGCAGAGAGAAACACCTGACCAATCACTGTCCTTTTTTAAAGTCTGACTGACCAGCTGTAGGCGAAGAACAGGAAGTTAGGTGCACAGACAACCATCTGCAGCTTCCTCCAGTCTCTCAGCCAATATGCAAGCCCGGCCAGGACCATTTGACCAAAGGTGAAGAAGAAGGAACTGAGTGTGCCGACTACTGTCCTCGTCTTGGTTGTGATCCACTCAACCTCTGAGGAGACACTCAGTTAGGAAGACAGACAAGTGCCCAGGTGGACAGGTAAATAAGGAACCAGGTAGACGGGTACTTAGGGAAACTCCGTTAATGATGACCCCAGACACCGCCATCCCACTCAGAAACCTGAAGATGCAGTAGGTGGAGTATGTGGGGGAAAGGGCGGAGCTACAGCCAAGCACAGCAAGTTGCAGGTATGACCAAATCAGAACGGACCGCCTCCCAAACCTGAGAGATAGACAGAAGGAGTCGGATTGCACTGCTAACCTGAGACAATGAACAGGTATACACAGGTAACTCTCACCTGTCAGATAAGCTGCCGTAGACTATGGCTCCCGTTAAAACTCCACCCATATAAATGGTTTGAATCATTTGTTTGAGAGGACGGAGGGAGCAGACCAGACTCCACTGTGACACACACAGGTGAGAGATTGATAGGTAAGAGACAAGTGACCTCATTAACATATCTGTGGCAATGCGCGCTAATAGGCTCGCCGTGTGCCTGCCGCTACCTCGGAGACGGTGGTGGCGAGAAAGTCTGATTGCTCAAAGGTCCATCCGTCAATGCAGTCTTCGGTCTCTAGGTGGCTAACATTAGTGGAACTGTTAGCAGCTAACAGCTGCCACTGAGGATTCGCATACCTGGACAACAGGTGCAACAGGAAATGATGTGACGGTCAGGTTAATTAATTAAACAACTGAGGAGAAGGAAGAAAACCTTACCTCCTGCAGCGGGCCAGTCTATTTCCTGAAGAATCAGGAGGGATAAACATTTTCAGCAGCTGCTTCTCATCCACCTGAAACAACCAATCACATTCATCCATCCAGATTTATTGATTTAAGGAAGTAAAATTGAGAAAACAAAAGAAATGGGATCATAGTGCCTGCACTAAAATGCCCAGACAGGTAGACAGTCAGGCTGACAGGTCACCTGGTGAAGGTGCGACAGGTTGCTCAAGCTGTGATTGGCTGGTATGCTGCAGTAGTGAGTGGGGACTCCAGAGACAAAGTTGTTTAGCAGGTTCTGACTCGCCATCAGCAAACCAGGTAAACTGATCAGGGTCACATGGATCCACTGGTACCTGCCAAACCCACCAACCTTGCCATAACAACAGGAAACACATTAACCCTAACCCTACACATCTGTATGACACACCTGGACAGTGAAGTTATTTCTTGCATAGGAGGAATTTAAGTGTCTCACCTCATCCAGCAGCTCAGCGAATCCCATCTCAGCAACAACAACAAATAGCAGCAGGTATCTTCAGGTGCTTCCAGGTGTTCTCAGGATCTGAACTTTTGTTCCATCAGAACAAACCTGACAAGAAACCAAACAGCAGACCTGAGCAGGTGTTTGGGTCAAAGGTCAAAGAGTGAAAAACATGAAAACAACTGCTCCGAGTTTCTTCTCGAGTTTAAAATTGTGAAATATTTGCATGGAGTCTGGTAAGAGCTCTTAAAGGATTACAGTCTGCAGCTGAGGAGAATGCAGAGGCAGAAAGAGGATTTACTCAGAGTACTTACAGAGGCTGCCGGACGGCCCGCTGACGGAGGGGCGACTGACGGAGCAGGCAGAAGACAGACTGAGAGGAAATGAGTGACTGGACATTAATCAGTGACTTTAGGACACTGTCTATTTTCCTAACTTTGTGTTTGTGTTAATGTTTGTGAGACACTGGCGACATCGTCAAAGTCACCACCAACATCACCACCAACCAAACAGCCACCTTCAGCAGGGAGGAAACGATCACACTGTAGCACTCCATCAGAGAACTAATGCGGTCTGTGCTCTGACAGCGACCCGAGTATTTTAATAAAGAACAGGAAGACTGGAACAGAAGATCATGAACAGGAACATAATCATGTATCAGTAATAATAAGTTTGTATCTCAACGAGTCGAGAAAGAAAAACTGGATAGAACACAAAAATTAGACAACAATTAGAAGGATTAGACATTTAGATTTTCAAAATAAAATACTTTATTGGGGCTCTTAGTCATACTGTTGTGATTTCAAAACAAAAGTCCATAACAGTTCATCAGGAAGTGTTCAAAACATCTGAAAACTGTGGAAACTTGTCTCCCCCCCCCGTGGAGTCATCTGTTTTCGTGTCCTCGCTCCTCACTGAGCTTCTTGCTGGAATTTGTCCAGCAGTTTTTGCAAACAATCATCTCAGCAGGTTTCCGAATGGTGGCGGCAGCAACTCATGAACACGCTGTGACACGTGTGTCAGTGTCCCAATCAGGGCGCAGCAGAGCAGGCGACTTTACAGTGTTTATGAAGCTGCAGAAAGACTGACACAGGTCAGAGGTCACAGCGTGAGATGTTTCTTCAGTCACACAAAAACTCTTGAAACTCTTACTGCTACAACTACACGTTTCTTTTCCAGCTATTTATTAATGAGTGACATATGTATATGTATATACACACATATATATATATATACACACACACGTATATATATATACACATATACACACACACGTATATATACACACACACACGTATATATACACACATATATACAACTGCCTGTGGCCATTCCCTGTACAACGCATCCACTTAACACACTGGTTATACAACTATACATTTTCTTTTCCAGCTATTTATTAATGAGTGACTTATGTATATATATATATATACACACATGTGTGTATATATTGTACTATTCTTAGTTAGCGTATTGTCTGTCTCTTTAATGTTGGTTTATAATGGAGCACTGTAACAAAAAAAATAATTTCCCCCAGGGATCAATAAAGTATTCTGATTCTGAAAAGCCTTAAAATGAAACCGTCAGTATGCCACACCAGACTCCATTTAAAAACTGTCTGATTTTAGATTTTATTCAAGCTCAAACTGCTCCTTCCCGTCAGTCTTAGTTCACATTCAAGCTCTGATCAAACAGACCAGACTCCATTTAAAATCTGTCTGATTTTAGACTTTGAATTGAAAATAAGCTGAATTGTTCAGTTCATGTTTGGCTGTTTCTTTCTGTGACAAAGTTTCTCTTTGGAAATACAAAATGTCTCAAACATGAAACTGTTTCTACCGAGTTTCTACTGATCAACAAATCAACCAACCAATCATAAATCAGTCTGTGAGCTACGGGACAAAAGAAATGTTTAGTGAACATCCCAGTCTGTGTATAGGTCATTAGTGAATCTGCCTTGTTCACGATGACTCGACGTTGTTCCCGTCACGCTTCGCCGTCTCTCAGTTGATCATTACCGACCTCTGTAATCATCCATCACACTCAGTCTGAGTAACCCTCAGAGGTCAAACATACGTGTTCAGAATGGTTTCCAGCAAAGAGCCCTACTTTGACACCGTCACAGGTTTATCTGTGGCACGGCCTTTAAAGGAGTGTCCATAGCGCCATCCTGTGCCTGTACAAAACATGACGTCACTTGGTTGGCGCTAACTAACGACTGAACCAATAACTGAGAGGTAAATAAGAACTGTGGAGGCTCGTCGTTGTGTCTCTCTGATGCTGTCGGCGGTTTCTCGCTGTGGCGAGCTGCAGTGAAACACATGAATCCACTCATTAGCTGTGATGTTCGGGTCTGTAGACTGAATGAATCAGTGTGGAGGGGAGCCTGTTTGAGTCAGGTGACCCGTTGGTTAACCTGACTACACTGTCACGTCCTTTACCGCCAAAAGACGGCGCTAAACATGCTCCAATAACTAGTTAGTTATTTCTTAAATCCAGCTTCACAGAGTTAAACCTCTGAGCTGTAAGTGAGCCTGAACACACACACACACGTTTCACTGACATGTTGGACTTTGGTCTTTAAAAGAACTCAGCGTGCTCATTCAGTTTGACTTTATTCACACAGAAACCAGAACACCAACGGTCCCTGAAGGCATCGTGGTGGCTTCAACACCACCTCATTGTCAGGACAAACAGGAATGATCAGACTGAAGGATAAATATGAAGCTAAGAGCAAGTAAATATATCATGGACACACACACACACACACACACACACACACAGCTTTTCAGCTGCTGACCAAAAATATAAAAACAAGTTAAAAAAACAAAACAACAACAAAAAAAACAAACACATCAGTCGTCCAATCAGACACGCCACCACTTCTCCCAGCAC